TTTGCTGATTAAGTTGTTGAGCATTTGATTGACGCTTCTTTCGCTTCCTCGAGATCGTTTTTTATCCCACAATTGTCGTCATTCAATTTTTCCTAATCTTCAGAGTGATAGAATAGAAGAATCATTCATGGACATGTCAAACTGAATATTACGTGATAATTGTTCATGTGGAAAATGTTGCAGGTGTATGACAACATATTGTAGCAAAGAATCTAATATTTGTTTTCTCTCTTTGTAAATTTGTGAGGGAAAACTCACAAATAGTGTTAAGTGGTAGACAATGAGAGAAGTATTTGGTTTTATTAAAGGTATCTGAAACAATGGTTTCAGAGTGTCAAAAAATTGAACAAAAACTATGGTAACAGGTTTTGAAGTTTCATTTGACTTGTTAAAGAAACCATGGCAGCCCTGGGTCACTGCATCGCTTTTTCGGAATTGGTACAATCGGCCCCAGGAAGATGCGCCATAGATCGAGTACGATCGTCACCAACATTGCTGCTCCCAGAGAATCAACGGCCACTCTTTGCAAATCCCAGAGATCACCAGGCTTCTCATCAATCCTGTTGTGCATTGAATCACCATGATGGGAAGATATTAGAAAAAAGTGGTAGCATTTAACCTTTAAAACAAACTCATCCTGTTCCTATATACACTTGCGTTCCAGAGTCCAAGCTCAATGGGGAAGCTAAAATCAGTTGACAATAGAAAAGAGAACTCGAAAACTCGAAAGGCACGAGTTCATTGAGGAAGCTAAAATCAGTTGACAATAGAAAAGAGAACTCGAGAGGCACCATGTACATGATGGCCGTGAACTATATGTTACCACCTAATAATGTGAAGGATACTAATTCTTGTAATTCTACACTTCATCTTAGTTAATTCGGAGTCCTCACCATGACCATTTTCCTAGTACTCTCTCTGATATAGCATGCTTTACAAGCCCTTACGGCTTAATGTGATAAAATAGAGCTACGAAGGTCCAAACATGGCAGCTACGTCCACAAGTAAGAGTCACCTAAATTTAAATTTTTAACACTATTGGACAAACTATAGCTTGACGTGGGATCTCACAATCTACCTCCTTTTGGGGTTAGCATCCTTGCTGGCACACTGCTCGGTGTCTGGTTCTAATACCATTTTTAATAGTCCAAACTCACTACTAATTGATATTGTCTACTTTGGCCTATTAGTATCGCTGTCGAAATTTCCACTCTTGTGAGGAATGTTTCATTACTCTTTCCAAGCGATATGGAATTTCAGAGTTACCTAAACTTTCAACCTGATTGGGTAAACTATTATAGAAGTTTATACCATATTATTTGCAATAGAAAAGGCGATGACAACTACAGAAGATGATTCAAAGGAATCATGGAAAATCTGGGTACCACCATCTAAGTTCTGCAATTAGTAGTCATTGTCTTCCTTCCCTTATCTAGTTTTTGTAACTCATGAAGGAAAATGGCAGACTTGTGTCTGGTTTATACATACTAAGGCACCAAGAGTGAGAGTCTTACCTCAAGAACATTGGGAAGCTGACGAAGAAGTAGATAGCATAGAACAAAGAGCCAAATTTGTACATTGAATCCCGATCCTGAAATTGGTAGTAAGGGAACTGCACATGCCCGAAGTATCAATAGGTTGAATTACTGTATAAAGAAGAGTTGTAAACTACAGGACCGATTCTTCGAGTAGGAAGATTTCGCTGAAAGGGTTTCTTGGAAATAGTTTTGTAAGAACATAAGAGGAGAAAGATAGGAAATTACATTAGAAATAGCCAAAGTCTCCAAGTATGCAACGAAGTATGAGAGAGCCATAATCCATGCAATCATGGTAGCCCGTTGAATATGCTCCGGCAAGCTGGCAATAGAATGCCGGAGTCTTCTAAGAGTCATGTTGGATGTGACATGATACAACAGAAAGCAGACATGCGTAAGAAGAAACGTCGTGTGAGGTACCTGCAAAATTAACATATCCTTTATCTTCTTTCTGCTATTTTCTTCTACTTTTCCTTTCAATTCCTTCCAATCTTACATTGTTCATCCTCCATGATGGAAACGTATAAGATGCCCCCAAAACAGTGAAAAAGTAGTGAGTCCAAAAGTAATTTCCCACATAGCTGAAGATTGCTATCCATAGACTAACCTGCCACAGAGAGGAAAACATCTTAGGTAGAGTTTAAATTGATCGGTAGCTATCTCGTGGTAGCTATCTCGTTTGAGAGTTGAGAGTTCAATTGTAATAGTTCAAGTCCACCACTAGCATATATCGTCCTTTTTGGACTTCTCCTCAAGGTTTTTAAATGCGTCTATTTGGGAGAGGTTTTCCCACCCTTGTAAAAAATGATTCGTCCTCCTCCCAACCGATGTGGGATCCTACAATCCACCCTCTTTGGGCCCAGCGTCCTCGCTGCACATTGTTCGGTGTCTGGCTCTGATACCATTTGTAACAACCAGAGAACGAAGCATTCTTTATAAAGGTGTGGAAACCTCTACCATGTTTTAAAAACCTTGAGGGTAAGCCTGAAAGGAAAAACCCAAAGAGGGCAATATCTACGAGCGGTGGTCCTGCGCTTGGACTTAAAACATGGTAGAAAACTAACCTTTACCCAATAACGCTCTTTCCAAGGCAAATTCCTGTCAGCCTGCAACCAATTCCAAGCAAATTATATCACTTGATATGCCTAGATCTTGATTTTTTAGAACTTTTTAGTGATTAACATTCAGTTTCACATGTGAATCTTAGAGAAACACCAGTCCTTAGACTGAAGAAAATCTTCCTGTCCCATGAAGTTAACCTGGAATCCATTGGTTCCCATAAACAAATATGTGAAGGGGTTTTGGTTATCGGATCATAGAAATGAAGAGCTAGTAAATTCTACCTCTCCAGGCCACACCACTGGTATCAAGAAAGAAGGAACTGCTGCAACCAAACCAAGAACCATATATTCCATTTCCGTGAAACTCTGTCAATCAGAATCATCATGTTTAGACTTTTGATAATAGAAAGATTTGAGAAAAGTTCATCTCAAAGCAATTTCTAGATGATTATCGGTTTCAAGAACAGAAAAGGCTTAATCATAACACAGTCGAGTCCCAATTCTTGGTTAAATCCCTATTCTATCTTGAAACCTAGCCACTTCCATTCTTCCTTGATGACTTCTCGAAAACAAAGCCGAACATGAACAGAAACTCAAGCAATACAGTGATATCAAACAAAAGAAAGAGTGTTGATAATGGCGCCATTTCAGCGAGTTCGAGAGGGCAAACCTCGTAGAGTTTGAAAGGGACGATGATTCCCAAGCAAAGCGTTAGCCAAAATGGAGTGTAGGAAAGAAAAAACAATTCTCCCCATCTCTTGCTTGGATTCGTAGAGAGCCATAGGCTAAAAGAACGAGCGAGAGAGGGAGCGGGAGCGGGAGCGCGCGCTCGATCTGGACATTGTTAAGAACAGTATCATACAGGATTCGAAAGCAGAAGAAAACGAAACGAAGAGAAGAAATCTCACCGGCCATTACAGCGATTAAGAATCTGAACGAGGTTGATCGATCTCGGCTTGAAATTCTCCGACTGAAATCTGAAAACAGAGAGAAGAGTGTAGTTTCTGGCTTCGCAATTCCAAGATTACAGCACAAAGCCGATGACTGAGGATGACTGCTTCCTTTTAAATACAAATTTTCGCCATTGTTGCACTACGATCACTCTCAATTTTTTTTGTACTTCAATCGCTACACTATATTATATTGGTGATTATCATTTATTATTTTTTAAGTTCAATCAAGCACGTTCGAACTTTCGTCTTGAATCAAATCGGTCTATTTTCGGCATCATACCAATAGTTAACGCATTCATCAGCCCTAGCTCTATAGCAAGGTCACGGTCGATATCGAACTCTTAGACTTGTTATCAAGGAACTTGTTCAAAAACACGGTAATGAATGGAAGATAGGAGTTGTCGTTAGGTATTTGACCAAATACGATCATTCAGTTCCTATAGAACCTATCACTAAAATATCCCGATGATATGGCTAAGCAGAGGGAAAAGAGTTTTTCATGATATGGGAAATTCAAACTATTAGCTACCAACGAGATTTGTGAATAAGTGATTGTCTGATGATGAGTCAGGAATGTTTGTCTTTCTGCTAAACCGGATGTATTGAGCTGTCCTTTTAGTTGACAGTAATAGCTATGTGAGTCAACTTTCAAATTAATATTCTCAATGAATCCGTTTTAGGCAGGATAGTATCTGTTCTGAGATGATCTAAGTCCAAAAGTAGATAGGAGATTGTCTGATAATGGGTCAGGAATCTTTGTCTTTATGTTAAACAAGATGTATTGAGCTGTACTTTAGTTTGACAGCGACAGCTATCTGAGTCAACATTCAGATAAATATTCTCAATGGATCCGGTTTAGGCAGGATAGGGTTTGTCCCGAAATGATCCAAGTCCAAAAGTAGACAAGAGATGGTCGGATAATATAAGAAAAATCACCTTTGAAGTATGGAATGCCGTTGAGCGGGAGGAATAAAGTAGACAAACATTAGCTTGAAAACGTTGACATGTGTGAAATTTTGATCTCGTTGTAATAAAAAAACAACGTTTTTCAATTTTAATTTTATTTATTGACTTAAAATTTGGAGGTTAAAATCTCCCGACATTAAAGATAGTAACGTTATTTTAGTTTCGTTCTCCGAAAGAGTGAACCGACCCTACTAATAGCCTTTGACAATGAAAGAATAGATTCATTCAACCCTGACCGGAAAGACTGAGGATTCTCTTCTCTTTTAATTCGACTGAGCCTTCAACCACTCTGTCTTCGCTCCGTAACCGGTCCGGATTCCCTTCCCTGAACTAGGTGGAGTATATGGTGCTTTATCTTAAATAATTAAAAAAAATTGGTATTATTATTATTTTTAGAAAATTAAGTTAAATTAGAGCAATTTTAACTCTAAATTTTATAAATAATCCAAAATTTTAATTTTTTGTACTTATTGCAAAAAGTTCGAGCGGGCGGCGGCGGTGGCGGTGGCGGCAATTGACTGCACGGAGTTCACTAGCGCCGAGAGGATTTTGGCTCGTTGATCCCTGAAGCCAAACTTGGAAGGTGAACCGAAAGTTCAAATCGTTTCAACTGATTTTGTCTCTTTCAATTGACAGGCGTCATTGAATTGAATGCACGCGCATAAGCAGTCGGGCCTTCGCATGCATTACCTCCATAGCCTCCATTAATGGGAGAATTTTTGCTTTCATCTCTTCCAACGTCAAAAAATGAGCAATGTTGGCGAAACAATGGCGTTGGCTGTGTGCAGCGACAAGAACATGGGATCGGGGATTACGATTTGGGATCCAAAAACAGGCGAAACTCTCCTTCACATTCCGACTTGCGCTTCGCCTTCTTATGGTTTAATTTCCTTGAGAAACGAGTTCCTTGTTGCTTCTCAGACTCGTAAGGAAGGGTCCGTTGGTGGTGGATCCATGTTCGTTTGGTCCCTGAGCAAGGTATTGAACTATCGATTAATCTGCTTTTGAATACACATTGTCTTTCAGATGCTATCATTGTTTGGATAATCATAGACGATTCGATTCTTTACAAACACGCTTGAGTAATCTTGAACTCGATTAATATTAAGAACTCACTTGTTCGATTTTAGGGGTGATTTACAAATTAAGCCCTAAATCATTGTGCCTTTTCAGCCTCAGTCCCCTCTTAGGAGCTATCCATTGGAGCCTATTGGACCACTTGCTTCAACAAAGGACGGTGCATATCTTGCAGGCGGAGCTCATTCCGGTAATATTCATCTCTGGGAGGTCAGTAGTTGGCTGAAATTCTCTTGTTTTTTCATCCAGTATGCGGGTATCTATATGCATATATGTGATAATTCAATATTGATTTGGTTGTTCATCTTATTTTCAATCCATTTTGTATATCTGTATGAGAATCTGTACATGAACATCCTTAAGAGTCTCATTTGGTTGAAGCAATTTGCAGGTTGGTAGTGGTAAATTGCTTAAGCTTTGGAGTGGGCATCATAAGCCCATAAAATTCATCCTGTTTTCTTGGGATGATTCGTTTCTCATTACTGGTTCGGCCGATGGAATGATTTGTGTCTGGTCCATGATTAGGTAAATGTATTCTATTCTCTTCACAATGCCTTTACAACCTCTTTGATTGATGCATTTTCGGTAGCTTTTCGTCGTCGTAATTTTTCCCTCGAACTTTATGCTAGTTTGCTGGATGTGGAACTTGTGGGAAGCGCACAGCCAATATTATACTGTCTCATGGAACATAAGTCGTCTTTAACTGGTCTAATTACTATGTCTGGCTACTCGATGTCGATGATCATTTCGAGCTCCCTCGATGGCAGTTTAAAGGTTGGTAAACTATAACATTGTATCTATTATTCTTTTGAGGTCTGGTAACCTTATAGCTTGATTAACATTTCTGGGTTGCAGTTTTGGGATTTAATGTCGGGAATGATTCGGGGAACTCAAGGTCATGTAGAGGGAATCACTGAGATTGTTCTTCATCCAACTGAGCAATTTCTGTTCTCTGGGACTGTTGATGGAAAAATTTTTGCTAGCAGGCTTGAATTTGGATTGGATAACTGCATTACCATTAAAGAAAGCCAATTATTTGCATCAACAGGACACAAGTAATGTATGCTACTTGGAAATTTCTCTGTGTTGTTTGTAGTACGACTTTCCTTTTCTGTTATTTTTTAAATTCTTATTATCGTCGTTCTAAAATCCCACATCAGTTGGAAAGAGGAACGAAACATTCCTTATAAGGATGTGGAAATCTCTCCCTAGTGGATGTGTTTTAAAAACATTGAAGGGAAGCCTGAAAGTGAAAACCCAAAGAGGACAATATCTGCTAGTGGTGGATTTGAGCTGTTATATATGGTATCAAAGCCAGACACCAAGCGGTGTGCCAACAAGGACGCTGGGCCCCAAGGAGGTGGATTGTGAGATCCCGCATCGGTTGGAGAGGAGAACAAAACATTTCTTATAAGGGTGTGGAAACCTCTCCCTAGTATTCGCGTTTTAAAAACCTTGAGGGGAAGCCCGAACTTGAAAACCCAAAGAGAACAATATTTGCTAGTGGTATCAAAGCCAGACACCAGGGGGTGTGCCAGCGAGGACACAGGGCCCCAAAAGGGTGGATTGTGAGAACCCACATTAGTTGGAGGGGGGAACGAAACATTCCTTATAAGGGTGTGGAAACCTCTCCCTAGTAGACGCATTTTAGAAACCTTGATGAGAATCCTGAATAGAAAAGTTAGGACAATATATGCCAGTGATGGGCTTGGGCTTGGCTGTTATATATTTTCTTTCCTTTGACAACAATTAATCTTATACAAGCTGCAATATATTTTCTTTCCTTTGACAACAATTAATCTTATACAAGCTGCAAGACCATCTTTGTTCCTTTGCCTTGTACACTTTAATGGTAACTTCATGTTCAAGTTTCCACCATTAATGCAGGGGAGCTATTACTGCTCTGGCCTTCAGTCAAATGGATCTAGTTTCTGCATCCGAGGATTGCACAGTCTGCATATGGGACATCGATAGTCAGAGGATCATTCAAAAGCTTGACCACAAGAAAGGTAATTACTCCTCAGATGTAATTTTCTTGTTCGAGGCAATTTAATGTTCTGTTCTTCGTGTCCTTTTGTCGATGAACACAAACTTATATGGGATCTATCAACAGGGAGAATAACCAACTTGGTAGCAGTTCCACGGTCGTCGCTGCTGATCTCTACGTCAAACCGTAAGAGAGTCTTGAAACAGTTCGACAAGTATCCCCAGCCAGCCAACTTGTCGACGAGCACAATACCTCTCTTTCCCTCTTCCCGACCCCTCGGGGAGAATCCAAATCTCGTCGGATTCACAAGTGCCGGTTCACTGAATCAGCAAATATTTGATATGAAGGTCACTCTCTCTTTCAACTCTTCTACATTGTGCCTTCACTGTAGCTGCTAAGTAAGTCCAATGGATAAATTGCAGCTTGTATTATCAATATATTCATACTCCCTTGCCATTGTGTGTTCAGACAGAAGGGACATCAGCAGCAATACAGATGAAAGTCGATACACGTTTACAAAGCCGAATGTGGGCGTCTAGAATGACGAAGCAAGTTATGGAGATGAACAACCATCTTCAATCAAAGTTGCTTGACATGATGCAGACTCGTTTGTTCCCGAAGAAACGAAAAGATCAAAGAGATCGAGTCGCTCGGACTAGGGAGAAGCATCCATTGTCATTCCATTGATCTTTAGATGATCTTAGGGACCGGCTGTAAGTGATAAACCTTTTTGTTCTTTTTCTGGGTCTGTTCCTTAGTTTCATGTTTGCTAAATTTCCATTTCTAGATTTGTTCTACCTATTGCTGCTTTGAAGTTTGGTCTAACTTCTTTAAGAAATATGGTTTTAATAAAATGGTTCATTATTTTAGAAATCATGGAGGGGAGATGAGTGTTTAAATACTATTTAATTTGGGATTTTTCTCATTTTCTTTTAGGGTTTAGGGTTACCGGGCACTATGACCTATATGGGTCATCACCTCATGTATTTATAGATGTGGATAATGAAGATCACATGGTATACCTCATGTATTTATAGGTGTGTATAATGAGGATCACACGGTAGGTCTTGGTCCATGTAACAAATAAAGAAATCATATATTCTTTTTGATTCATATAACAAACTAGGAAATCATTCTCTTTGATCCATGCAACAATCCAGTAAATCATACATTTTCTTTGATCCATGGTAACAAACAAATCAGGATAATGAGGATTACTGGTAGGCCTTGATCCAGGTAACAAACTTGGAAATCATACATTTTCTTTGATTCACGGTAATAAACAAACCAAAAAACTATAGATTTTTCTTGATTCATGGTATCAAAGAAACCAAGAAATCATAGATTTTCTTTGATTCATGATAACAAACAAATATAGATTTTCTTTGATTCATGATAACAAACAAATCAGGAAATCTAAAAACAAACCAGTAAATCAGAAATTCTTCTGGATTCTCCTGGATTCAACCATAGATTCTCCTGGATTCATGGTGAAGAACCATAGATTCTCCTGGATTCATGGCGAGGAACCATGGATTCATGGTAAGGAACCATATATTCTCCTCGATTCATGTTAAAGAACCATAAATTCTCCTCGATTCATGATAAGAAATCTCGTTCATTCATGGTAAGAAATCTCGTTGATTCACGGTAAAAAATCTCCTTGATTCATGATAAGAAACCATAGATTCTTCATGATTTATAATAAGAATTCATGGTAAGAAACCATAGATTCTCTAAGAAACCATAGATTCTCTTTGATTAAGAAACTATAGATTCTCTTTGATTCAGGTAAAAAACCATAGATTCTCCTTCATTCATGTAAGAAAATTCTCTTTGATTTATAATAAGAATTCAACCATAGATTCTCTTTCATTCAGGTAAGAAAATTCTCTTTGATTTATAATAAGAATTCAACCATAGATTCTCTTTGATTCAGGACCATAGATTCTCCTTCATCCCGATAAGAAACCATAGATTCTCTTTCATTTAGGTAAGAAAATTCTTTTTGATTTATAATAAGAATTCACGGTAAGAAACCATAGATTCTCCTCGATTTTAAGAAACCATAGATTTTCTTTCATTCAGGTAAACCCTAGATTTTCTTTGATTCAGGTAAGAAATTGGAGATTCTCCTTAATTTATGGTAAGAAACCATAGATTCATAGTAAGAAACATAGATTTTCCTTGATTCATGGTAAGAAACCATAAACTCTATTTGATTCAGAGTAAGAAACAAGAGATTTTATTTTGATTCATGACATGAAACCATAGATTTTCCTTAATTCATGATACCAGAGATTTTCCTGGATTCATAACAAGAAACTAGAGATTCTCTTTAATTTATAATAAGAATTCATAGTAACAAATCAATGATTCTCTTTGATGTAGAGTAAGAATTCATGGTAAGAAATCAGAGATTCTCCTTAATTATAATATAAATGCTGGGTAAGAAATCAAAAATTCTCTTGATTCATGGTAAAAAACCATAAATTCTCTTTGAAACCATAGATTCTTTTTTATTCATGGTAAGAAACCATATATTCTTGTTGATTTATGATAAGAAATCATAGATTCTCCTTAATTCATGGTAAGAAGTCATAGATTCTCATTGATTCACGGTAAGAAATTCTCCTCGTTCATGGTAAGAAGTCATAGATTCTCATTGATTCACGGTAAGAAATTCTATGGTAAGAAACCATAGATTCTCCTTGATTCAAGGTAAGAAACCATAGATTCTCCTTGATTAAACTATAGATTCTCTTTGATTCAGGGTAAGAAACTATATATTCTCTTTGATTCAGGTATAAAACCATAGATTTTCCTTAATTCATAATAAGAATCTATAGATTTTCCTTGATTCATCATAGATTTTCCTTAATTCATAATAAGAATCCAGAGATTCTTCTTGATTGATCATAGATTTTCCTTAATTCATAATAAGAATCCATAGATTCTCCTTGATTCATGAAAAGAAACTGTATATTCTCCTTGATTTATAATAAGAATTCATGATGATAAAAAATTTTCTCTCATTTATAATAAAAATTCAGGGCAAGAAACCATAGATTCTCCTTGAAACCATAGATTCTTCTTGATTTAAGAAACCATAGATTCTCGATTCACAGTAAGAAATCTCCTCGATTCATGATAAGAAATCATAGATTCTCTTTGATTTATAATAAGAATTTATGGTAAGAAACCAATGATTCTCTTTGATTTAGAGTAAGAATTCCTGATAAGAAATCAGAGATTCTCCTTAATTATAATAAAAATGCAGGATAAGAAATCATAAATTCTCTTGATTCAGGTAAGGAACCATAGATTCTCTTGATTCGGGTAAGGAACCATAGATCCTCCTTGAAACCATATATTCTTCTTGATTCATAAAAGAAACCATATATTCTCCTTAATCTTTGATTCATGCAAGAAACCATAGATTCTTCTTGACTCATGTGAGAAACAACAAATTCTCTCTGATTGAGGTAAGAAACAAAAGATCCTTCCTGATTTATAGTAAGAAACCATATATTCTCCTTACTTCAGGATAAGAAACCATATATTCTCTTTGATTCAGAGTAAGAAACAACAAATTCTTTTTCATGTATGGTAAGAAACCATACATTCTCCATAGATTCTTTTTGAAACCATAGATTCTCTTTGATTCAGGGTAAGAAACCAGAGATTCTGATTGATAGTAAGAATTCAGGGAGATTATGATTTATAGTAAGAATACAGGCAAAAAAAACCATAGATTTCCCTTGATTCATAATAAGAAACAACAAATTCTTCCTGATTCATACGAAGAAACCATAGATTTTTCTTGATTCATGATAAGAAACCATAGATTCTTCCTTATTCAGGGAAGAAACAATAGATTCTTTTTCATTCAGGGAAGAAACAATAGATTCTTTTTCATTCACCGTAAGAAACCATAAATTCTCCTTAATTCACGGCAAGAAACCATAGATTTTTCTTGATTCACGGTAAGAAACCATAGATTCTCCTTGATTCTAAGAAACAACATATTCTCCTTGATTCATAGTAAGAAACAAAAGATTCTCCTTGATTCTAAGAAACAACATATTCTCCTTGATTCATAGTAAGAAACAAAAGATTCTCCTTCATGGTAACTATAGATTCTTCTTGATTCATGGTAGAAACCCTATCTTTTATTTAAGGAATTCTCCTTTCTTGAAGGTAAGAAACCATAGATTCTCTTCAATTCATGATAAGAAACCATAGATTCTCTTCGATTCATGATAAGAAACCATAGATTCCTAGAGATTCTGATTGATAGAAAGAATTCAGGGTAAGAAACTAGAGATTTTGATTGATAGTAAGAATTCAGGGTAAGAAACATAGATTCTCCTTGATTCACGGTAAGAAACCATAGATTCTCCTTGATTAAACAACAGATTCTACTTGATTCATAGTAAGAAACCATAAATTCTTCTTGATTCAGGGTAAGAAACTATAATTTAGGGAGAAACATAGATAGTAAGAATTCAGGGTAAAAAACCATATATTCTTCTTGATTCAGGGTAAGAAACTATAGATTCTTCCTGATTTAGGGAAGAAACTATCGATTCTCTCTTATTTAAGGCAAGAAACAATAGATTCTCTTCCATTCATGTGGTAACTATAAATTCTTCTTAATTCATGATAGAAATCATATATTCTCTTTTATTTAAGGTAAGAGACCATATATTCTCCTCGATTCATGATAAGAAACTATAGATTCCCAGAGATTCTGATTGATAGTAAAAATTTAGGGTAAGAAACCAGAGATTCTGATTGATAGTAAGAATTCAGAAACCATATATTCTCTTTGATTCATAAGAAACCATATATTCTCCTTGATTATAAACGACAGATTTTCCTGATTGAGCAAGAAACAAAAGATTATTTATAGTAAAAATTCAAGGTACCATACATTTTCCTTGATTTATACTAATAAAAAAAAATTAGTGACAAAGAATTAAATTAATTGAGAGGAAATTAACATAAATGAAAAAAAAGGTAAAATAAAAAAATGCAGGGATAAAATAGAAATTAACCTCAAATTTTAAGGAAAAAAATATAATATTTGAAAACTTAGGACTAAATCAAAATAAAAAGAATATATATTTGCTTTCTTCCCTTGGTCCCATTCAAAGATGGGGTATTTTTTTTTAAAAATATATATATATATATATAGGTCCATCCAAAGATTCTATATCTTTTCAAATACATAATATATATATAGTTTTTTTCAATGTCACACATTTGAGAGATTTAATCGTTAATAATACAAATTAATTATGGTTAAATGATGATCATCATGTTTTAGACCTTATTCTATTTTAGTTTTATAATTTTAAAATTTAAAATTAGTTAATATATAGTCTATTATTATTTTGAAATTGGTTTTTTATTTTATTATTTTTTTTTATCAATTTTGATAAAATAATAAAAAAAATGAATTTTATTGAGAGATTTATTTTTTAGAAAATTACTATAAACTAACAATAATAATTAAAGCTAACAACAATAATAAAGGTAAGACATTAAAAGTATTGACATTAATTTAAATAATTTAAAATATTGAAAAAAAATAATATATACTACAGACCAAAATGTCAGCCGTTTGAATTATTCGTTTTTCAATATTGTTGAATTTAAAAAATATAGTACAAAAATAAAATTCACACGGTCGAGATCTATTATTTATTTATTTTTTTAATTTAAGGATGAAATTTGAAAATTTTTATATTTTGATCCAGAATTTATACTAACCAGTTGATTGACATTGACGTTGGAATAAAATAATTTTTTTAATTATAAATTATTATATAAAATTACAAAATGACAAAAGAAAAAGAGAAAATCCAACTCACAAAGGCTGTCAAGTGTAAGTGGATAATATAAAGTCGATGGAGATGTTTCTAATATTTGGTTAAGGCATAATTAATTAATTAATTATTATGATAATTATGAATTAAAACAAAATAAGAAAATGCGGTGAATTCTTCAAATATATTATTGGAGGGCCGATTAATCGCCGATGAAAATGAATTGTGCGTCAAAAAGACGATTAACCGTAACATTAATAGCGATTTCCTCGTTCATTAAGTCGTCAGTATTACGCGGCAATATAAAGATGGCCGTCGGCCGTTCAATATTTTAAACCCTAGCGTCTTAGCCATTTTCAGAAAGCTGGTTGTCAGAAAGCTGATTGTCAGAAGGTTGTTCTTCTCTGAGATTTGCGAAGGTCACTATCGTCGCCGCTAACATCATGGCTCGGTTAATGGGAGGCTCTCTGTTCTCATCGGCTACTGGTGCTTTTCAGCCATCCAAAACAGGTATTTCGTTCGAAATCTTCATTCGTTGGAAATGGAAATGGAAATGGGAACGGAAATGGGAATGGATATGTTCGTGGTAACGTTTTTGATTTGTCTATTTGAGTTTGTGGCTACTCTGTAATGTTCTTTTGAAAAGATGGTGGAGAATATGATTCGATTGAGTTTTGTTAATCATATGTTATGTCCTGTGGTTTTTAAAGTACATTACCTGAGATTTCACACTTATGTTTTCATTTTCAGAGTCAGTGGCGAATTATTGCAGAATATCTGGCCCGGTGAAGTTGCATTTATTCCAAGAGGTATTTGAATCAATGATGCTTTCCCTTCTGTTATTCAATGAATTTGATCGATATCGGCCTGTTTTATCTGAATCTTGGACTTATTCAATTGCATTCGTGGGTGTAGCTGGGTGCAAAAGCGTCTGAACTTCATGGCAATGGCATAGCTAGTAACAGGGCTGGTGTTCTGCGGTCGAATAAGAAAAGCGGTGAGGTTCCGCTTGTTTGCTTGATATGTGCTTAATTCGCCCCCCGTCTATTGGGTTAGTTTAGTTCGCCAGTTTTAAGTCGTTTGGAGAAGCCAAGGGAGTTTATATCTGATGGAGCTTTTAATCATGGAGTCACTCTTTTAGTACTATTTGAATAGATGGTGATTACGTTCGTAGATGTGGGTATATTTACTTTAAAAGAGCAGCCTAGTGGTATATTTTGCCTTGCTTGTTTTACTCTGTGATTTAGATGCTTTATAAAATGTGCTTTTGTATTTTTCTCTTCACATCGTGTTTATAAAACTTTTAATCTTTCTTTTTGAATCACTGTTGAATACAGTTATACAGGCAATATTGCAGAGTGAGAGTGAGGTCGAAACTGCCAATGGTAGAGGGACTAGAGGTCTGCGAGGGCAGTTGAATAAGGTTGTTTTGGCTTATAGTGGTGGCTTAGACACATCAGTCATTGTTCCCTGGCTGAGGTAGGTCTTCATTTCTTACACCGATTCAGAGTTATGTTGTTTATTGATCTAGCCATGGACTTCTAAACTTATCAAATACTCATTCAGCAAGTGGCAGTAGTCGCATGATTGAAGAACTGAGAGATAGCTGATACTGGCTCTTCAGTACATCTGACTTTTATGAGTTACCATTCCCTTTTTCCTGTACTGCTTGGTTTTTGCTTTGAGCTCTCAGTTGTTCTTTCTATATCACTTGCAATTGCCCTGCCTTCCTCTTTTGGGATTTATGCAGCACTTTTTATTCTCCTTTCACCGAGTCTTAATTATTCTCTTCTATGGGAATTAACTATTGTATGTATTGCAGGGAGAATTATGGTTGCGAAGTTGTATGTTTTACTGCAGATGTTGGTCAGGTATGTAATTTGCGAAAGTGAACTTGTTTTGTGTTTTTTTATGGGATAACCCAACACGTGATTGGAAACCTTATGAAATTTATCTTTTTGCATCTATTCGTGGGCTCAATTTGCAGGGCATGAAGGAATTGGAAGGTTTGGAAAAGAAGGCTAGAGCAAGTGGGGCTTGTCAATTGGTGGTGAAGGACTTGAAGGAAGAATTTGTAAGAGACTTCATATTTCCGTGCTTACGTGCTGGTGCAATTTATGAAAGAAAATACCTGCTTGGGACATCCATGGCCCGTCCAGTTATTGCAAAGGTAGGTTCTAACTTGTAGTTTTGCCGCTGGTAGTCCTGATTTCTAAGTTAAATTAGCGATATGGATTTCCCAACAGTAAGTAAATTTAAGGTTATAAGTGACTCTAAGCTCCAATCACATTTATCATGTTCATGGTTCTTACCTGTTGGTTTGGTATTTGGAAAAAATAGGCCATGGTGGATGTTGCCAAAGAAGTTGGAGCTGATGCTGTTTCTCATGGATGCACTGGGAAAGGAAATGATCAGGTAATGCCCTCACAACATGATCTTGATATATGACTATTTGAGTATATTCTTTCCCCTGATGAATACAATTGGTCTGATATATCTATTAGGTACGCTTTGAGTTGGCCTTTTTTGCTCTAAATCCCAATCTAAATGTGGTGGCACCGTGGAGGGAATGGGATATTACTGGAAGAGAAGATGCTATTGAATATGCCAAGAAGCATAATATACCTGTTCCAGTGACAAAGAAATCTATTTACAGTCGAGACCGCAACTTGTGGCATCTTAGTCATGAGGTACTGCTTATTAGTATTCATCGATTCATCATTCATCTATCGTCTTTTCTCTCTCGCACATATACGATGCTGAAATTAAATGATTGTAAATTGAGATATTGTTTTATGTCAAATCTTTGGGGGGTTTCTTTAAGGTGAGGGTAGCTTTTCTTTTCTTTTTGGTGTGCTTTTCACTTCGCCTTAATGAATTTTTCATTGTTCCACGCTTTTCGGGATGGACTATAAATTTGATGAACTATATCAGCTGATGAAGTTGACCTGGTCTATAGTTCTTAATGAAAGCATAGGGAAAGAATGGAAATGATGTTCATAAGTAAGCTCATTATTAACCAACCCAAGTGATGTTCTCTTGTGCATTATAACTGTAGGGGGACATTTTGGAGGATCCAGCAAACGAACCTAAAAAGGACATGTACATGATGTCTACAGATCCAGAAGACGCGCCAAACGAACCCGAGTAAGCTTCCTTATCTAAATACCACGTTTTCACTCTCTTGTTTAATGCCTACACTTTAATTTGATCTGAATAACTGGAAGTGTATTCTTTGCAATAATGGTTCTGTTCTTGAATCTGTCCACAACTATTTAAAATTTTATTACCAACGGTTGTGAAAAGGAGCTAATATGAACCGTCCTAAAATCAAGTTCATCCTTTTGCTCTACTATACCCAGCTGGAAAATTAAGTGTTGAAATAGTATGAAAAGGAGACTGTTCTGCTTTGTTGTAATGTAATACCTTAGGTCCTTTGGTGGGTATTCGCCATTTTCTGTTCAACAAGCTCAACCATACCATCACGTTCTGCAGATACGTCGAAATAGGGATTGTCGGAGGTCTCCCTGTTTCTGTCAACGGCGAGGCTCTTTCACCAGCATCTCTTCTCACCAAACTAAACGAAATCGGTGGAAAGCATGGAATTGGCAGAATTGACATGGTTGAAAACCGTCTCGTTGGCATGAAGAGTCGAGGTGTCTATGAAACTCCAGGAGGAACCATCCTTTTCGCAGCCACCCGTGAGCTCGAGTCTCTAACACTCGACCGAGAAACCATTCAAGTAAAAGACTCCCTCGCCCTCAAATATGCAGAGTTGGTTTACGCAGGTAGATGGTTCGACCCTCTTCGTGAATCCATGGATGCTTTCATGGAGAAGATCACAGAACACACAACCGGCACCGTCACTCTCAAGCTTTACAAAGGCTCCGTCCATGTCGCCAGCCGGCGAAGTATATACAGTCTTTACCGGGAAGATATCTCGTCCTTCGAAAACGGGCAGATCTACAATCAGGCTGATGCCGCTGGTTTCATCCGCCTGTATGGCCTTCCAACCAGAGTCCGGGCAATGCTGGAAAAGGAGCTCTGAGCCGCCCACTCTCAGACGATCAACATACCTTTTTGCACAACAATCTAAAAGGTAATTTTAATCCGTCGAACTGTCTGAATTTGTTTGATTGGCTGTTTTAATGTGTATACATCTCTTGTTGTTTCTATTAGCTTGAAGCTGATTTTGGTACATTTAATTTAGGTTCCATAAGGGGTCAAATTTTGTTGGGTTTTTGGCTATTTGTTCACTTCTCTTGCACGTTATTATAATAGTATATTAGAGATATTTTATAAAGATTATTCTCTTATTCAAAGTTAAATTAATATAACCCGAAAATATGGGAACCCGTTATATTAAGACTCACAAAAAGTTTGGACGAACCCGTTATATTAAGACTCACAGAAAGTTGCAATAGTAGTTTCCTTGGTCACATTATTCTTCATTGTCGAATTGAGGTTAATCTTTTAAATGAATGAAAATGTGACTGAATTGATCTCGATCAATCACTCTTTGAACGGAATAGATGAAAGAAGCCTCTAATATATATATATATATATATATATATATATATATATATATATATATATATATATATATATATATATATATTCATTTAACTTTAACACATATGGTCCATGAAAGAATTGTAACTCTTATGCTCATTAATATTATAATGGCTACTACTTAAATTATAA